AGGCTTACAAATCAGTAGGAAAAAAATAAACCCAACAGAAAATAAGCAAAGGATAAGAAAGCAACACACAGAAAAGGAAACTGAAAATGAAAAAATAAAAAAATAAAACCATGAACGTATAAGAAAATGGTCACGCCCACTGACCACTACAGTAACCAGAGATTTACAAATTAAAATGACGAGAGGCTATTTCATATATATAGGCAAAAAAAAGTAAAAACTGGATGTTACAAAGTATTGGCAAAGACATGGGGCAACAGTGCAACCACCTGGGAGAGCAATTTGGCAATATCTAATAAGGGTGAAAAGTACACACCCCTGTGACTCACCAGTTCCATTCTTATCTATATGCACCCTAGGGAAATCTTGAGCATTTATGCAAACAGATGAATACGTGACTTTTTACTGCTCATCTTTGTAATAGCAAAATAATGGAAACAACCTAAATGCTCATCTAGAGGGGAATGAAAATAAATTGTGGAATATTCATGCCTGAAATACTAGACGGACATGAAAATAAATGATAATATGGATAAATCTCATAAATATCTTCATGAATTAACAAAAGCATGTTACAGAGTGACACATACAATATAAAACCATTTATGTAGCTATATAAAGTTTAAAAATGCCCAAAATAACCTCAGTGGAGGGGCACTTTGGCAATATCTATGAAAATTACAAAGGTATATATGCTTTGATCTAGCAATTCTATTTCTGGGAATTTTTCCTACAGACATACTTACACTGTGTCGATCACTTATGTCTGAGTGGTTCTTGCAGCACTGTATGCAATGGCATAACATACACTGAAAACATTTCTAAATGTTCCTCAGTAGGGAATTAAAAGAAATTTTGTTCATCCATACCACAGAATGCTACAGAGTTTTAACAAAAAATGAAAGTGCCCTTTATGCCTTGAAACAGAAGAATCTCTTAGAAAAATTAAGTAAAAGAGCAAGCTGTGGAACAATGTGTACAGTAATGCTACCACCATGTAAAAAGGAGGATAAAGAATATATAAATATATTTGCTTGTATGTACCTAAAACCTCTCCAGCATGTTATATATTCTGGAGTGTTGCATCTCTAGAAGGTACATTAATTAATTAACAAACAAATAAATACCTAACAACTTTGGTTGTATGTGGGGAGGAAAACTGACTGACTGGGACACAGGTCAGGGAGAGACTTCTCAAGTTTATACCCTTTTAATACCCATTTATACTTTTCGAATTTTAAACCATGATACTACACTACCTACTCAAAAATACATTAAGAACATTTTTTCTACTTTTTTATTGTGTTGAAAATATAGATAACAAAATATATGCCATCTCAACAATTTCTGCATGTACAATTCAGTGACATTGATTATATTCTTCAAGTTGTACAACCATTCTCACTATCCTTTTCTAAATCATT